TATGGTGCACAGCAACTTGTAGAAATTACTAATTCCATCCCAAAAGCAAAACAKCTGGTTTTAAGATGATTTGTGGTGAGCAATGCCTGTTCACTGAAAGAACTAAGAATTCTCAGTGGTATTACTTGTCACATAGCAGAGCTTAATCTTCTATACTTTGAATTTTTGCTTCATTCARCTAATTAGAAATATCTTCGATAGCTTAAGGCAGTACTGGACAAATTAACTCCTCTTCATCTCCTGACATTATTAGAGTTGCTGTGGAAGGAAATTTGTGGTTGTAGCATCTTCAAAAAGRGAAACTGGCTGGCTAAGAATTAGGACAACCATTGTGGTTTGGATATTTGCAAGTTCTTTGCTACAAATTACACTGGTCGACTGGTAAAGAAAGCTCTTCAGATCATGGATTAATAGATTAGTTTACACTGATTAGGAAATAAAGCAGTAGAAAGAACCTTGGATGACACAAGGCCCTGTTATTATAGTTGTCCTATCTGTAATACTTTTCATGAACTTATCGGTTGTATTTTAAGAAGTTAGCTTATTTGCACCACCTCTTCTGTGATCTATCAAAAAAAAAAAAAAACCTGTGAGGAAGCAGTCTTTTAGTCTTTTCTGCCATTTAATTCATAATTTTGAGACCTAATTCCCACCCTTAGTGTTTTAATAGTCTGAATGGCCTTCACATATACTTATTTTTGTGGAAACAATTTCCTCTAGATAAATTGTTCTTTTCCCTTCATGCTGGTTATCTCAGCTGTGTTTATAGAAAGCATTCGTACCTCCTCTTGGCTTTTTTCTTCTGCTAGACTGACTAAATGAAGTATTTTTTGTACTCTGCAGTTTCCAATCAATGGATCACCCTCACAGCTTTTCTCTGCAGCTGCTCCAATTTGAAATTCYTCAAGTGTGTGTTTTTAGCTGTTACAATGAGATTACATATAACATTGCAGGTGTAGTCTCGCTGGGGTACTGTACAATAGCATGGTTCTTTCTCCTTCTGTTCCAAAGAGGATGTCCCTGAATTGCATCTGGACTCTTCACAGCTGTGTTAYCTTGATAAACCCAGCTGTTAGGCAGCTCTGGTTTGGAATAAGGGTTACACAGGTTGTTTGGTATAATCTCTTTATTAAACTTCAACAATAACCCTTTTTTTCTTTAACAGTGTTATCTAATGGTCCTTCCCTCGTGACAAAATCATTGGCAATACAGATGCTGTTTCCCAGTCATTACAAAAGTGATATTTTCTTTAACATTTTTACTTTAGAATGACCGATTTTATGTGTCACTTTTCCATAATTCTGAGAAATGGGTTCTTTTTTACTGCATTAACTTTAATAATTCTTAAAGTGTTCCTGTTTGCCATTTGTCATAGTTTTCAAATCTGAGACAACATAGGTAAGGATTATGGTGAAGGTTGGGGGCTCATTCCTGAATATTCTTAGTTTTCATCCCTTTTTTTTTTTTTTCTACTTGGACACAAAAAATAGCCTTAAAAGACTGTAACTTTTGTGTATAATAACCTGTTCAGGTGTAGTTTAACTTTTCTTTTTGCTAATGTACCTGAGACGGCTTTTTGTGCTGCTATTTTTGTTCCCTGCCTGTCCCCCACTGTTCTTGACAGGATCTGTACATGTTTCTCATGTGTTACTTGCACAGGTTTATCAATGATTGACTTGTCAAACATGGAGTTTTACCCATTCAGCTTGAGACACAGATCCTTAAATGTTTGATCATCTTTTGTGTTAAACACCAGGCTTCTGCTGCATCTTGGATGTCTTTACTAACCTTTGCTATCAAATTATTTGGGTGTATGCCATTGAAATTTTAGAGACCTAATTATAAACCCATTTGGGATTTTTCATTCTTTATTTAAATAAAAATCCAGCAATATATGGATTAGGTTATGAGYAGCTGTTTTGTAATGTCCTCATTAGTTAGTGAGAACAGTCTTCAAGTAATGGAGTAATTTGCTGCTTCAGTAGCTATTTCATAAATTTATCAGCTATTAGCTCCAATAATTTAAGAGTTTGATTTGTTCTCCATTTGTGTCTGGGTGATTAGTCTCCTAAAATGATACAATTCCCTTTATTTTTAGCAATGTTAAAGATGTGCATCCATAGCAAATGCTGATGCTRGAACAAATGCCCTATTAGTCTGTCTTTAAAAGAACCTGTTTTACCTACTTCCCTTCCCCCAAGGATTTGACCCAAACAGATTTCTGTTCTTATCTGTTGTATTCATTCCATATCTGTGACACACATTGCCCTAGTTTTAATTTCTTTATGAATGTTGTCTTTTCCTCAGTACTTGCATTCTTAGTTGAGTTAYGTTCCACCATGGCAAGGTTGCTCTGGCACTATGTGTCCATAATTTAAACTTCTGACCCTCAAACAAACGCTGATAATTAATCATACTCATAAAATGTACAGCTTGATTTTAATCATCCYGTCTAACTAACTTGGTAGTTTCTATCTATTCTTCATCATTTTAATAGTGTATCAAAACTTCTTGTAAAGTTTAAAATTCCCTATGTCTGTATTGTGGGCTGTATTCCAGAAGAGCTGTTTTAACAGATGCTTGAAGGTGACCTTTCAGAAAATCTTATTTCAGATTACCTACCTCTTGGTTTCTGAAACCTTCCTGGTAATACTTGTCCCTGAGTTGCTCATACCTCCTGCCATGTTTCAAGAGAACTTGAAAAAATTAAGTTAATTTGGGAGACCTGTTTGTCACACAGTATTCTGCCTTTCTGTTGCCTCCTTCCTCTTCCCTTCCTTCCCCCATTTGTCAAGTATGCATAGTTGGCAGGTTTTCGTTTTCTTAACATCCCATTTCAGTTTTCTGAGGTGTTGTAGTTCTTTTAAGACKTATAGTCCAAATATTTCTTGGGTCCAGGGAAGCTGCTCTATGTGGCTTTATAAATGCAACCTTTTCTGCTCAAAAGATTATTTTTGCTTTAGTGTGGGCAAWCCCACACCAGTGTACTTTATTTATTTGGTGCAATTTCCTAGCCTTTCATTATTAGAATTGTGTGTATTTTTCCATCATATTTTGTTTGGTTTTTTTCTATTTTAAAAATTGTTTGAACATCCAGTCATGTTGACTTCCATAATGCACAAAAAACAGGAATGATATTCCAATGTGTACTAAGTGCATCTCAAAGCACCAGAAAATGTGTTGCTTTCATTCTTGCAAGTATATTTGTCTTCTGCTGTCTTGACATTGCATCCTACACTAATAGCCCAGGTTCCAACATTTTTGTTGCAGACTCCTGTTATTTTGTACATGTGCTTTTAATTAATGTCTTAATAACCAAATCACCTCTCTTTCTATCCCCTGCTCAATTTTTTCTTTTAAATCTTGCTTGCTGAATCTTAGCATCTTACCTACCTTCTGTCTCCCCTCTGCTACAAAATTCCTAAAACTCCTGCTTAAATGCTTGAAGGCTGTTAATGGAAATTCAGTCTATCTGTAAACTGTACATAATAAGGTAGAAATTATGATTATTGACTCTAGAATGACTTGGAAATTCAGTGCTTCTGAATTGATTATGTTCCATAACTTTTTGTAAAATGCCTAATTATCGCAAATTTTAAGAAATTGAACTTCTGTAGGCTCTTCAAACTGCCAAATGTAGTGTCTTACATACAGAGAAGCAGGAAAGGGATTGAATGAGGTAGATTCTGGTGATTTTGGTTTTGCGTTTTAATGCCTAGGTCTTCCTGTTTAGGTGAGGTGTGTGTGTGCATATGTTAAGGGTAGAATAGAAGGAGGGGATGGTGAAGGAAGGAGGATGTTATTTGTCATTTTTCCTTCCCTCTTCAGTAAAATGATGTACAGACCTGGACATGTTTTTCTTTCAGTGATTTAATCACTGTTAAACAAATATCTAGAGAGGACATCTYTGCCAAATGAAATACAACTTTAAATTATCCATATCGTTCCCTGTATGCTCAAATCCAATATACTGACAGGAAGAAAGCTAAACTAGTGTAAATGATTGCTCTGCATTCTTACAAGGTATGAAGTGAGATTCCATATGGCCTTATGTACCTGGCAGGTGCTAATTTTCTTAAACTAATGCAAAGACCTGCCTTTTGTTTCTTCCTCAGTGTCACAACACACACATTGTACACTTAAGGTTGTCTGATTCATTTTTAGACTTACATTCTGGGYAGTTTCTGCTGAGGACATTCAGTGCAATGCTAAAGATTTAACTACTGTAACTTAATGTAATTTCTTATTCTCGAGAAAACTCTTTGGCAGTTTTCAGTTACTATTAGCAGCCTCCAAGTTTGTATTTGGGATAAGAAACTTCTGAGCTTTCACACATGCCCACCCTCTACACCCTTCTCAATCTTCCCACACAAACCATATGAGCAATCATATAAATTTTTCACTTAGTATGATCAAGGTTGCACTGGAATAAAATGCCAAAGTACACCTGGGTTTTAAAACAGAAAGTAGGCTAACAATTTTATTTGCATGCTCTCCTCCTGTTTTMTTCTCTTTAGACTGGAATTTTACTAAAAATTGCTTTTAAATTAGTGGTTTTTAGTGTATTACGTGTTCCGAGGTGCTGTGACTCGTATAAATGTGCATATCAATGGACTAGCTCCTTTATTGTCACATTGTATTTATATGCTTTAAATATCTAGAAAGGTGTCTAAATTAATCTTCATGGAGAACCTACAATTTGATACATCCTGTTGGATACTGTGGTACTGCTAATTTCAATAATTTTCTTGTAACTTTTTTTGTTGAATAAAAAAAAGAAAAATCCTGACAACTATTGTTTCTGTTCAGTTGAAAAGGGCATCTTGTAGAAAGCACTGTTACTTTAACGACATTAGATATTTATTGTAATTACTTCATCAAACTATTACTTAAATTATTACTCTATTTGAAATTATGTTTTCTCCGGTTTCATGTGACATTGACTGTCTTTAAAAATGTTTTTATTGAACTGGAATCTCTTTTAATTTCCTTTTCACTAGTTTACTGTTTACAAAAGTCAAGTTGGAGTCCCTGTGCAGAGGCCCAGATGAAGCACTCCTTACCTGTAAACACATGCTCCAGATTTGGAAATCCTGCTACAATCTCACTAACCCAAGGTAAGATGCTGTRGAGTTCTGGGCTTCTGCTATCTTGCTCAGTGGCTTTTCAGGGCAATATTAGTTCAGCAGTTCTGCATTTACTTGTTTTGATATTTCATATGAACCAGCTAATCCTCTGGGAATCTGGAGACTGATGCGCAAAGACACCACTTGATGGTTCTGTGGCATTACCCAGGGTTCTATGAAGTAAGGTGTRCCAACGATACTAAATTCTGCACTGATAAAGACTGGTTACACAGATTGGGTAACTCATCCATTCTCAATGTGCTGGTATGGTTTTGTTTTGTTTCCTGATCAGGGTTTTAGTCTTTTATATTGGCCAGTGGAGAGATTGCTGTAGTAGGAATTTAGTTCAAGGACATTCACTAAATAATATGAAAGAGGACAAGACATTAATTAAAACCATAGAAGCATCAGGGGTCACATGGATAGATATGATGTGCTTGCGTAGTCAGCATGGCTGTTTTTTTTTAAGGGAGGTCTTGCTTATGAGCCTATTCAGGTTCTTCAGAAGCAATAAAAAGTATGTAGATAAGTTGTTATCGTCCTGTTTGGGTTTCCAAAATGCTTTTGTGAAGGTCCTTTGCCATATGTATTTAGATAAGGTGAAACAAATGGGAAGGCTACYTAGCAGAAATCCATGCTGGTAGTGTTCAACATGTTTATCAAACACCTGGAGAAGGGGACAAGCAGAATTTCCTGCTGTCTGGTTGTCTGAAGGGTTGACAGCTTCTGGAGAAGAGATGCAGCACCAGAAGAGCTTTGTACCAAGTGGCACTCAGGTATCTATAGTAGCAGCGTGATGGACATTCAGTTTTTGCTCTACTTTGTTTGATTCCAGTCCTGTAAACGCATTCATCTCTTTAGGAGGATTGAGAGGCTTGACCTAATGGCAGAAGASGGAAAACTGTTTCTCTCTTCAGGGAGCTAGTAAGCATTCAGAGCAGTAAAGTTTGGAGGATGTGGCAGGAAAAGCTCAGGAAGGAACCTGAGTTAGTCACAGCAGAGAGACCCTGACACTGAGTTGTGGTGCAGGGAGCATCACTGGGGTTACAGAAAGCAAGTACGTCAGCAGCCAGAAAGATCKGAACTGAATTTCCAATTCAACATCACTGAGTGAGGACTAGGGCCAGGGAGAAAATTTGTGTTCTAACCTAGTGGGTGGTGTTTTATTTTAGTTAGCTGGTTGTGTGTGTGGGCAGGCAGGGTTAAGAGTTTAGTATCATAACGCTGTACTTAGCAGAATAGCTACAGTTTCTGTGCAAGCCTAATTTCAGAGTGTCTTTGCATGTGCTCCAACACAACTTTTCACCTTCCATCCCTGCTGTTATATCCCTTAAACAGATCAGGGCTCTAATCATAGCTTGTCTTTACTGCACTGTTGTTCTTGTGCTAAGAGCTACTGTGCCATGTTAAACGCACGTTAAGTAATGCCTCCTTCAGACATCAGCAGTGACTGTGAAAACTTACTCTTGGCTGTGTCAGCTTCAAACAGCAGTGGTTGATGACTCTCCTTGGCACCATTCTCCTTCAAGAACATCTAAGCGGAAAAATTAGTGAGGACTACTTTGCATCTGATTTTATTTATAAAACTGATTTTTTTTTTTATCTTGACATCTAAGTTTTTTCTTGAAATTATGGTAAAAAGATCAAATTTGGAATGGAATGGACAGGAGCTGTGGGTAAGTGTCATGATGGGAGGAGACAGGTCTCCCAAATCTCACATTCAGAGTTGCATCAAGCAGTGAATAAGAACACCAAGTGTTACTCTTTCTTAGGCTGTTGTCTGTGAAATGTAAGGACTGRGTACCTTCATATTGTGTCATGGTAATGCAGATCCAGCCAACTGTTAYCCAGGAATAGCTGTTATGACTGAGACTGAAATGTGACTGGGAAGGTCTATTCACCCTACTGCATTCCTGATGTACTGAGGAATGATGAAGCAGGATTGTTGTGAAAACTGAAGTTYTCCAACCTCTGTAGTTTTAGCACACACTTCATCTTATTGCAAAGCACCATTTGAAAATTATGTCTCCCACTGGAAATAATTGAATATTTTTTTTGAAAAAAGTTCTCTAAGCCAATAATAAAAGGTCTTTAATAATTTTAAACCTTTCTATAATTTTGTTTTTCAAAGATATTAATATCCTTTATACTTACTTGAAATACCTTTTTCTGTTCTGATTTAGACTGAAAATTAATTTGGTGTATCATTTTCCCAATGAGATAAGAATTTACTTTTTTGATAGGTTCTGGCTTACCAAAAAAACATGTKTATATTAAACATTTTTTCTGCAATTAATCAGATTTTGTGGAAACTTGGGTTGAATGTCCTCAATAACCTTTTAATAATAAAAATAAATCACAAATATCTAAAAACACCTCAAAAAAGGCCAAATGCAATTCTGTGCATTACCTTTGTTTAGTCAGTATAGAGCTTTCGTCTTTAATTGATGTGCAAACTTGTTTCTCGTGATATGGTTAATATGAATTTTAAAATTATTTTGTGGTGCAAGGCTTGGAAGGTTTAAATGTTTGCCTTTTGCCTGCCTACTGCTTGAAATGCATTAGAAAATAGTTGAATTCTTTTCCACTTCATGGGTTGCATTTGAAAAAGAAACAAACCACAGTACCAATGCTGTGCTTAGAAGATATTGACGGTAGGTCTGGCTCATCAGCAACGTTTGGCATGTGTTTGCACATGGATTGAGGAGTAATTACCACAGAAAATTTACACCAAGTAATGTAACAACTGTCGCTGATAGTACATGTCCCAGAAAGTTCCCTTCTGTTTCCTGTGGATTTCTAGAATGATATAATTTTGTAAGGAAATAATGCAATAATGTCAGGATAATGCAAARTTTTAATTCTATCATTTTAGAATTAAGAGCGGACGTTTCACTGGCTTGCAACTATTAAGAACAGTTGGGACACTTCTTGCCCATCTCTCTATTCAAATTTAGAAGGAGGTAGTTGTACAACTAAGGCAAATGGAGAGAGGTACTGAATTCCAGTCTTGCAGTTTAGACTACAGTTTGTCAGGCTTTACCTTAAACTAAGAATTTTGTCCAGTTTTTTCTCTTCAGGGAGAATCAGACAAAAGCASTCTGCTAAGTTGGGCTTAGAGTTCAGTTGCTTTAAAGCTTAATATCTTTTAGGGTTGTGGAGTGGATTTTTTTTAATGAGGTTTTAAAGAAAGTATTTATTGATAATGAATAGAACCAGACTTAACAATCCTAAAAATGAAATTGCTATATTAACCATAGAATGTTAAAGAAGGAATGCCCATATGTGCTTCCTTACACTTTGCTGACAATGTGTCTCAAACTTGCCTCATCTTTAGGAGAAAAAACAGTTAGTTCTTCAGTCCCTGTTCTTCTGCTGAATCTTTAATAGTAATTGTAGGAGCAATTCGTTTTCCAGCAAGTGTATCAACAAGAATCCTGAGGGGCAGATASTGAGTTACAGCTGAAGTGGAAATTAGGGGCATTTGTTCACAGATCCAATCAGTAAAAAGCATTGCTGCATCTTAGGCTGCTGAAATGATAGAAGTGTTCAAGATGTTRGAATCAAGTTCAACTTTAGGCAGTTAATATGCCTATGTGCATATATTAAGAAAAAACAAAGCACAAAAACAAAACAGCCCTTTWTAACATCTTTACCTAAAATTAGATGTCCTGGCTTTAGTGTTTCCATTCAGTCTGGGAAAAGTGTGGATTTTTAAACTTGCATCTGCYTTGTTGACTGTCTGTGATAGCTGTACCCCATATCATATAAATATTTAAGGTACAATAAATTCTGTTTGTAGAGGTGTTAGCTATGAATCAAATTAAAAGCCACTGTTCCCTTTGTGGTTGTATTCATTACGAAAACAGAATTGCTGAAGTAAATAAGAATTTAATTTTTCTCAGCTTAATTCTGTTTTAATGCAACTGGCTTAATGCACTGTGAGTGGTTTGTGGTGCTTGGTACTAAATTTGGTCATAGCAGTAGCTTTTATAGCAAGAACCTTTGTGGGAGTAGGGCAGCATGCAACTTGTATATCAGTATAAATTTTGTATTTTAATAGCTTACAATTTCTGTACTTCATTCCAGTGATTCTGGACGTGGGAGCAGCCTGTTAGACAGAGCTATTGCTGATAGACGACAGCTTAATACAATTACTTTACCAGATTTCAGTGATCCTGAAACAGGTAAGAACTGCATTTGAACAATAAAATMGGTGAAATGACATCTGGCCATAGCTAGATTTTGCATTGTTTTTAAATTTTTTTATTTTGCAAAATGAAATTGTATTTTAACTATTATTTTATAAGTGGAAATAGAAATTGTGTGATACAAGATTTTTTTTTCTTCTGTTTTAATTTTGAAGTACTTGCTGACCACGTTCTCTGTAAATTAAAATATCTACGTTGTAGATCTTGCTGACTTTAGTGGTATTTCCTTATGCAAGGGCTAAAAATGAGTATGCTGAACTAGCCTACTTGCCGAAGTCCTGTGCTTTTTGGTCTGTTTGGTATTTGCACATTTTTGTTTAAAATTTAAACCAAAAAAATTTCAGTGAACTTTTAATCATTAATTAAAATCTCAAATGTATGTTAAAATTTAATTGCATGGATGGGTAGGYTTACCTTGGACATACTTTGACCTTATAAGCAAAATTTATTTATTGTAAATCATACATACTGTGATATTTTTATATGCATTAAAAAAATCATGGTACGCAGGTGTGCTACATAAAACCTAAGATTGTTACACGTCAGTAAATACTGACAATGTATAATATGCCTGTATCAATACATTCAGTTATTAYGATGCAATCTAATATACCTTAAAAGTTATGCAATCAAAAAGCATGTGAGCCATGCATTCTGTAAAGATTGCAGAAGGAATTACCATGATGCTTCTAATTCCAAAAACTTTCTCCATATCTTACTTGTGTTCTAAATATTGGGGGTGTTCTTTTTTCTGGAATTTAAAACCATAGAATGCTTTTCCTGGCACCTTTCAGGGTTGTATTTCTGTTTAGTCACTCTTTGGCACAAACAGCTTATGGGAAAATTTGCCAGCCTATGATTTTGAGTACACTTRACCTGTAAATGAAATGTGTAATGTATGTCTTTGCTTACTGTCAGAATAGTGCAGTAGAGAAGAATCCTATTTAGCTATTTAACTTCTGAGAGTCAGAATTGGATTGAATGTTCACTCCATTTTGAATTTAAAGTAGTGTTCTGTGCTTGCTGTAGTGCAAGCAATTTTGATTGCAAAGATCAGGTCACTTGATTTCAAAGAATAGCAATATGATATGGCATAATTAACTTGCTGCCCCTAACGTGAATCTTCTGTCCTCTGGTATTCATATAATTAAAATGGATAAGGTTACATGRTATCATTCTATGGTGATCATTCTATATTCTAGTCTAGCTGATTGTTTCATTTTTAACAACATAACTGGATTTTATAGGTTTCATATACMTGTATCAATATACATAGCTATACATAAAATTTTTGCCTTCAAGAAAGTGATAGTTGTGGATGGGTTTTGTTAGAGATTTTTTGTGGTTAGTGGTGGTTTTTTGTTTGTTTCTTTTCCAGTGGGGACATACAGYTCTTGAATTATACCTTCAGGGTCCTATTTTATAACTACCACAYTTGAGAGCATAGTGAATAGGTGCACTTTAAAGACTGCATATTCCTCAATGCTTTTAAGTAAAGATGAACCCTCATTCAATACAGTGAGCTTTTCAAGAAGCTTGCCCCAGATTCAAATCCTGCAGCCAATGTCTTGATAAAAACAGGATCTCTGCATACAATCTGATTTTTCCAAGTGTATTTTATTCTGAATCTCAGCTGTGTAGTTAGAGCTTACCTCTATTGTCAAGGAGAACAAGATAGAAAATTAAAAATATGGGATCCCTTTATTGTTATTTATCTTACAAAAGRTAATTATTTAGTATGGGTRGGGGATATCCCTTAAGTTTYATTTTTTTAATTGGGAGTTGAAGTTGATTTTGTTAGTTGGTGGTTTTTAACAATGGTTAATTGTTAGTTTTAGCAGAASAAACCTTATTGCAATACCAGTACTCAATTTCTGGAAAGGACTAGAGSTTCGTTATCTACTGTATCTATGTAATTATATGTATAAAAAAGCTCCACAGCTGGTATTCATCCAGAATTCTTCATCAGAATATTATAAACATTTTGCAGGAATTTAAAGATTATGGTACTATAAGAATGAAAGCAGTCAAGCTTGTCATAGTATTTGAGGACGTATAAGCAGACTATCAATAAAATATTATCCAACTAKGTAGATTGTAGAAACAATAGACAATCAAGATGTTAGACCTTTACAGGGCTGAAAGAGCTCACCTGCAAATTCTGTGGATCCACAGTGTTTAGAAATGCAGAAGAAATTTGGCAAATATGTAAACAAATGTTAAAATGCAAGAAAGTTCTGGCTGAAAATCCTCTTAGGATGGAAATGTTTGCTCCCCTGCTTGTTAAACCATTCAGTGCTACCTTGTGAATACATTTACATGTGTGGATACACATCAACATTTGAAACTTTTCCCCTTCATAACTTTGCTTGCATTCTATGATGATGACGATGTTCCTCTTTGCCTGTCCAGTCTGAGTTCAGTCATCTACGTACCAAGAAATGAGACCTAAAACTCAAACCTGTTTAAGTAAAATCCTTCCAAAAACATCTAGCTGCAATGGGTGTAAATTCTTCTTCTTAGATGCATCAATTAAGCAGAAGTCGACCTTTCAGAAAAAGACATATTAAAACCTGCTTTATGCAGAGTTCTTACCAATCYCATAATGATTAAGTGATTCAAGTTTAAATTTGTGTAGTCTTTGAAGTATCAAAAGAGTGCATTGGGGATTTCTTACAAGGCTAGACTGTTGATTCCAATGTCCTGATCAATTACTATGTCAAATTTACTTGAAGTTTGCTTCTGTTTCAGCTGGTTTGCCTTGAGTGCCATGCTCATATTTGTATATATTGATGAAGGAAATAAATATAGAGGGGGAAAAAAGAGCTTTGATGAATCAATCAGTCTCACCTATCATATCAAAAGACAGATAAAAATATGCAAATCTCTACAAACTCATTGGCTATTTGGTTAAGATAAATTGTGACTAATCTATTCTAAAACTTTCTGTTCAATTTGGTTGCAGTCCACTCAGTTTATCATAGGAAGAAACAATATTACCTGAGTTTTAGGTTTTAGCCTTTAGTTCCCCTTAAATATTTTTTTTCATTGAAATATTGGAACATAGGGAAAAAAACCCTTTAATTTGCTTTTTAAATGAAATTTAGTAGAAAAGGAGAGCACATATAAATAAAGGGGTATTTTTTGTTGTTGCTTTCAGAAGTTGTATTTATTTTATGTAGGAGCCATTTTGATCTCACTGATTAGTGAAACAAATGCTTTGTGGTTTTGGCATCCATGAGTCTGTTAAACCCTATTGGATCTTTTTTCTTTCCTATCGCCCTTCCCCCCTACACCCCCTTATCATTCTCTTTGTTTCGCTTTTTAGCCTCTGATACTTCCTCATCTTCTTTCTCAAGAACAGAGTCTCCTCTCCAATCTCCTCTCCAATCTCCTCTCCAATCTCCTCTCCAGCTGTTTGTATCTTCTCATCTTCCTCATCCTCATCCTAAACCAGATATCTTTGTCTGGCCCCATGCAGCCTCTCCATACTGTGACCAAGTTCCTGAGCCCTGTTCACCTGTTCACTGTAAAYTGGCTTTCTATTCCTGATGAGCATGTGTGTGCTGTATTTTTCTGATAATCTTCATAGCTGATAAAYTGTGTTTAAATAGGTAATGTTTCAATACTTTCAGTGAAATCTGGCCTTTCAGCTGCCTTTCATTAAATACTGCATGGGTTTTAAGAGTTTCATCAGAGAAGACTGTYTTATTGATCCCCAAAGATATGAAGTTACAGTAATATTTAATACTCTGTTCTCATGAGTGTTACAGACAATTACAGGTGTTCAGTAAAAGAGATTATTGGTCAAGGCTGCTTTGTTGCATTTACTGATGTAGATTACTTCCAGTGCTGGCATCTTTTGCCTAACAAGACTGTCCCTGCCACAGAATCTCCTCTTATCTGGACAGTTTTAATTAACTTAATTTCAGAAGCTTTTAACTAATTACATCCAAAACATTCCCTGAAAATTCACCTGAAGGGAACCATTGCCTGAATATCATAATGCAGGTAGGGCGTATTTGAATGATTTGGAGGAGGCATTAGAGCAGTGAAAGTCTGCATTGTGCTGTTTCAAGTCGAGTCATTCTGTTGTTAATTGAAATGATGCCAATTTAAACCAGCTGTAAGATCAATCCCCATGCTGTTTGAATACAAACTGTGCAGCAATGCTGCCAGAGTAGTTCAAGTGTAAAATCAACATCRTTTTTCAGCCATTTCTTTTCAACTCCTTTTTATTTCTGTTAAATTGTCCTTCACTCGTACCTTTATACATAGCATTGTTTTTGTCACTGAATTTGCTATAATCTGATTTTAAGAAGTTCATTTTGACACCTAGTCTTTAGACTGATTTCATGTCAWAGATATTAATTCCGAGCAAAACATAGCAAATAAATCCTTGCTTATTAGCAAGTTTCACTTGTTAAAATAGCTGAAATAAGACCAGAGTTTTGAAAACACTGGCTTGTACGTAAGCCTGTGACTGGAAGTTAATGAAAGCGCTTCCTTCAGATGTCAGGCAATCTGTGTCCTTCAGAAGTTGAAGTCTGAGTTTCTTGAAGTATTTGAATAGCTGATTGGCTGCTCTTACAGTTTGGCTGTTGTTAAATTGAACTTGCTCAGGCCCATTTTATAAACTACATCCAAGTTAACATTAAATTAACATTAAACATTGTTCTTGTTCTTTGCAAAGCAGTAAGTTAGTAAGAACCTAGTCAAGAATGGAGGCAAGCTGAAAGAATGATGAAGCCAAAGCTCAGATTCCATTATGTGAAGCCCAAATTTTCCATTTCCAAACTACTATATCCTCAGGGAAAGGAGCTTCTACCATATGCTTGAGAAGTAGCAGAACCACAAAAAAAAAAAAAAAAAAAAAAAAGGGAGATTGGAATCCTTTGTATAATGTCAATAATTAATGAAAGTCAAAGCTGTCTGAGTAAGGAACAGTTTCCCTAGGAGCTTATGTTAGTAAAATT